TGACATAGTGTTCATACGAGACATACATAAATAATACTTGTCATATATTTCATAATTAAAATACATAACTGTAATAACCCGAAAATAATAAATAATAAATAAATAAAAAAGACAGCAAGCTGCTGCCATGGAGAAAGGAAGAATGGACAGGTGGATTGAAGGGAAAAGAAAGAAAAGAGAGGAAGATGGAGGTGTGGGATGAAGAAGGGTGGTTTTATTTTGTGTTAGTGTTATGGATGGTGGTGGTGGTTGGCGTTGGCAAGGCCGACGAGGAAGCACCAAATAATATCGAAGAAACAGAGGAAGAGGGAAATAGAAAACAGAGGATGTTATAATCCGTGTTTTCCGGCAAAACCTTAAGGTTCTTTGGCGTTTGTTGTGACAACGTGCAAACATGAGGATGGGGAGACGATTGTGAAGGCTTTTTAGCCATTGAAGCTCTGAACTAAGCTGATTTAAGCGGTTGTCGCAAAGGTAACGAAAAACCCATATCACCGAACCTTTAAATCTCGATATCTTGGTTCGTATTGTATAATAAGTTATGAAATAGGGCTTGTTAGAAACGTAATAAGGAGATCTATAAATTTGTAGAAGGAATCAGGATGAAATTCGAATCGTAGAAGGAGGATATGGCTTCAGGATATAGTAGGTATTAACAGAAAAGATGGGAAAATTTCAGAAAACGCAAGGAAGAAGAAGAAGCGCGTGCACTATACGCAGGCGCGTGAGGGCCGCGACTGGGCGTGCTCCTGGCGCGTGGGACAGACACACCGAGGATGTGAGGGCGCGTGAAGCATCATTTCGGTTCCCGGTTTGTCCCGTTCGATTTGTTTTGACCTGTTCTACCTAGATTGACCTATACTTACCTTGAAAATAGTGAAATATAGGTCTAATTGGAAGGAATTGTGTTGAAATACCCTATTAAATGTACAATCAAGAGAGAAAGGGATTCGAAACCAGGTAAGTAGCGTATCGATCTATGAACTAGTTCTTAACTTGTTTTACAACATGTGAGTATGTCGTTTACCTGATTAAGAGCTTAGTATGTTATGATGAGCTTTGATGATATTGAGTGTTTATTGTATATTGTGACTGCTTGCCTGTGATGTAAGCATGATATAAATGATTGTCAGAATGTTCTATGTGTTGAACATGATACAGGTATGAAAGCATGCAGTAACTGTGAGTATGTTATGCATGTTAATGGAAAGGTTATGACTCTAGATATGCTTATTAGTTGTTGAGCTATGACTTATTTATATGAGTATGATAGTCTACTAATTCCCGCGGAGTTCCTGGCCAACGCGATGTGTGCTAAGTCAGGGAGCATGAGTACTCCTGACCGTTGGTATATGAGATAAACAGGCCGCCAGAGCAATTAGTAGACGGGCCGTATTTGACTGAGAGCGAGTCTTACATATGAGTCCGAAAATTCTAGATAAACATATCGAAGGAGAGTCAGTAACCTAGCTGGAGGTAGCTGAGATACCTCATTAACGAACAGATGACCCTAGTAAGAGAACTAGGAGTCAGTGATGAATAAAGCTTAAAAACACCTGGAAAGATTAGTTATGAACCCGTGAATGATAAGCTAGCTACTTACTGAGTAATCTAATTACTCATCAAAATTATTATAACTTTTCTTTCCAGATTTAGATGATGCAGGCCAACCGAGGACGAGACCAGCGGGCTAGAGACTACTGGGAATCCATGTCTGGGTTTGTTTATGTAATTATGTTTTCGTTGTCAAGAATTTACTTCGGTTGTTTTAAGTTTAAATAGCACTGGTTTTAAATGTTTTACTGGATGTTTTTTTTTAGAAATATTTTGAAATTATGATTGGGTGTTAGAATATGTTGTCGTTGATGATGGTAACTCCTGTTAATCGCGTTGACGATGAGCGGGCGTTACAATAACTGTGTCATAAGCATAAAGCAGACATATTAACATAATTTAACATTGATAGCATAACATAGTTTTATGACATAGTATAATCATATCATAGTATAGCAGATAACATAGCATAGCTTGTACTACGATATAACATATCTCATAGCTTAAACATAACATACACACGTCAAACAATTATAAAACACGACATATGTAGGAGACACTGGGGACATGTCATTCATACAACAAACAAGTCATCCAACTAAGCCAACAATAACCACTTACGTGGTTGGCCTAAGCCAAAATCACAATGCTCCCTAATTTATTTTGTCACTTGTATTCATAAAAACCTTGATTTCTTATAAAGGGCCTTTAGATGTAGTTGTCTTTTTTTTCTCATGGTTCACACCTCAAACATGTTTGAATCCCCTTATGAGATCTCACATA